AAAAAAAAAAAAAAAAGTTAAATGGCTAAGTAGGATTAAGAGGCTATCCAGGTTTAAAGAAATTTCACATTTCTAAGATAGGGTCTCCTTGTAGCGGTAGATGGCCTGGAACTCACTATGTAGACCAGGTTGGCCTTGAACTCAGATCCGCCTGACTCTGCCTTCAGAGTATTGGGATTAAAGGTGTACACCACCACTCCTGGCAACAATGGTGATTTTTAATTTACTTACTTCAATTTTATATTCATTTAATTTATTATTATTATTATTATTTGTGTGTGTATGTATGTATGTTTGTAAATATGGGTTTGCCTCTTATATGGTATATATGTGGAGGTCAGAGGATAACTTTAAAGTGTCAGTTTTCTTCCAGTGTGGGTTCTGGGACTCAAGAGGTCAGGGCTGTGCAGCTAGTACTTTCTTTCACCCACTGAACCATCATGTAGCCCAAGGGTGGTAATTTTGACATATAATTTCTGGGTGTGGTATTTACATGACTGCAATCCTAGCACTTAGAAGACAGAGTCAGAAGAATCTGGGTTTCAGGGTTATCGTCAGCTATATAGTGAATTAGAAGCTAGCCTGGGCTGCATGAGATGCTGTCTCAAAACCAAATAAAATGACATATAATTATAATTTTACATAGGAAATAACTACACCTAAATAACTTTGGGTAACATTTTGACATTATATATTCTATTTTATCTTTTATTTTTATCTACCTATCTATTTTTATTTTGAGACAGGGTCTCACTTTGTAGCCCTGGTTGCCCTGGAACTCACTGTTTATACCAAGCTGGCCTCAAACTCGCAGAGATCCACTTGCTTCTGCCTCCTGAGTTCTGGAGTTAAAGGCATGTGCCACTAAATGCATTTTTTTTTTTTTTTTTGGTCTTTTTGAGACAGGGTCTCTCTGTAGCCCCAGCTGGCCTGGAACTCACTATGTAGACCATGCTGGCCTCGAACTCACAGAGATCTGCCTGCCTCTGCCTCCCAAGTGCTGGGACTATAGGCATGAGCCACCATTCCTGGCTCACTAAATGCATCTTAATTTTTTTTTTTTTGAGACAATGGCTTTCTATGTACCTTTAGCTGGCCTTGAACTCAGTGTGAAGCCCAGACTGGCTTCAAATTCATGGTAATCCTCTTGCCTCAGCCTTCCAACTGCTGGGATTACAGGCATGCATTGTTCCTCCTGACCTTTTAATATTTATTTATTTTCATTGTTTATTTTGTGTATGTATATGTGTGTTCATGTATGGGCAGATCTGTATGTCTGCAAGTTCATGTGCATGTGTGTGCATGGATCTTCCTGTCTCTACCTCCCTGGTACTGGGATTACAAGCATGTACCACCACTACTGGATTTTTATATGGGTCTAGGGAATCAAACTGTCTTCATGCTTTCATGGCAAGTACTTTACCAACTAAGCTGCTCCTCTAGCCCTATTTTTATTTTTATTTATCATGGTTGTTTTGTTTGTTTGGTTTGTTTCTTTGAGACAGGGTCTCATCCTGTAGCCCAGGCGTTCCTGGAACTCAGTATGTAGCCCAGGCTGTCTTCAAATCCATGGTGATCTTCCTTTACCTAGCTGAGTGATGGGATTATTGGTGTGAGCCACCACGCCTGGCTTCATATTAACAAATTATAAAAATAAAAAATTTTGACTTTTTTAGAGACAAGGTTTCATTACATAGCTTTGGTTGGCCTGGAACTTGCTATATAGACTAAGTTAACCAGGAACTCACAGAGATCCACTAGCCTCTCTCTGCCTCCTAAGTGCTGGCGTTAAAGTTGTGTGTCTCCATACCTGGTTCCAAAATTAAATAAAAAAAAATTTTTTTCTGAGCTGGAGATCGAGCCCAGGGCCTATATGTATTAGACTAGTGCTCTACCATTGAGCTACATCTACAGCCCTGTTTTTTGTTCTTAAATGGGCTTGATATATAGCCAGGCTAGCCTGAACTCACTATGTAGCTAGCCCTGGTTGTCATCTTACTTGTTATCCTCCTGACTTTGCTTCCTGAGTGTTGAGATTATAGGCATGAACAACCACATCTAGCTGTATTCCTTCTTTCAAATGAAATATATCATTGTATTTTCCCATTGTTTTAATAGCCTCCATAGTACTCAGACTAAAGATATGTCTTAATTTGCTTAACTGTTTCTCTTTATTAGATATGTTATTTGAAAAGTGCTTTAGCTGTTATGAATAACATCATAGTGAGTACTTTTGTGAATATTGTCATCACATTTGGTATTATTTCTTGGCTATAGTCTTTTTTTTATGTTTGCTAATACAGAGAAGGAAATGACTTTCAAAAGTGACTGTACAAGTTTACATTGCCACCTGCAGAGTGTAAACTATTCCATTGTTGACATTAAATATTATATATTATTTCTTAAGTTGTTTTGTAATTATTGAAAAACATGTTTTCAGGTTTTAAAAATAATTTTTTGGTTACTAGTGAAGTTGCACGTTTTCTTATTTGGTTCTAAGTATCAGAGTCATAATTTCTTTTTTTTAATGTTTTTTTATTCTTTATGTGTATGAATGTTTTATATGCATGTGTTTAAGTGAACTACATGCGTGCAGTGCCCATGGAGGTTAGAAGAGGGCATCAGATCCCTTGGAACTGCCATGTGGGTGCTGAGAACAGCAGCCTGTGCTCTTAACTGCTGAGCCATCTCTTTAGCCACCACAGAGTCATAATTTATTGGACTATTTTCCCCAATTACACACACACACACACACACACACATAACCTTTTTTATTTTTTGTCTTTTTGAGACAGGGTCTCTTTGTGGCCCCAGCTGGCCCAGAATGCACTATGTAGACCAGACTGGCCTTGAACTCACAGAAATCTACCTGCCTCTGCCTCCCAAGCGCTGGGACTACAGGTGTGCGCCACCACGCCTGACTTGAATTAATTAATTAATTAATTAATTAATTATTCATTCATTTATTTACTTATTTATTTTGTCTATCACGTACATATTTTCAACAAATTTTTCTTTCACTTTTCTCAATGATTACTCCCGAGGGAAAGGTGCCCCGTGCGAAATAAATCTGTATCCTGCTGAGAAATCCATCTGTGCCTCGGTGCCTCCTCCATCCATCCGCTCGCTCTCTCCCACTCTCTACCTATCAACTCTAGCATTGTGTTTGTATCTTTGTTTTCTATTTTGTGGAAGCATATTATGGGAGCGGTCTTTTTTTTTGTTTTTTGGTCTTTTTGAGACAGGGTCTCCTTGTAGCCCCAGCTGTCCTGGAACTCACCTGTAGACCAGGCTGGCCTTGAACTCAGAAAGATCCACCTGTCTCTGCCTCCCAGCTACCACTCCCAGCTTGGAACAATCTTTTTTTAGATGGGGTTTGAGACAGGTGCTGCTCTAGGACTTACTGTGTAGATAAGGGTGACCTTGAATTCATCATCCTCTTTATTCCACTGACTAAGTACTGGGATTATAGCAGTAGCTGTTTGGTACTGTGACTGGCTTGAGAAATCTTTTTTTTTTTTGGTCTTTTTGAGACAGGGTCTCCCTGTAGCCACAGCTGTCCTGGAACTCACTATGTAGACTAGACTGGCCTTGAACTCACAGAGATCCACCTGCCTCTGCCTCCCCAGTGCTGGGATTAAAGGCGTGCGCCACCACATGTCTCTAACTGGCTTAGTGCTGTCTGTGTAGTCCAGGCTGGCCTTATATTTGTAGTAATCCTCCTGCTTCAGCCTCTTGAACCCTAGGATTACAGGCATGTGCCACTGTTTCTGGCTTGATTATGTCTTACTAAGTTCATAAACATATGAGAATTTATATCTGACTTGTGCTTTTCCTCTTGTAGGTTGGAAAAGAGACTGTTCAAACCACTGAGGATCAGATTTTGAAGAGAGATATGCCACCAGCATTTATTAAGTGAGTAACCAAACTATTTGTGGCTAAACAGAACATTCTTGTTAGAAAAGAAAAAGTAATTGATCCAAGAGCTACCTTTTTTTTTGGTCTTTTTGAGACAGTGTCTCCCTGTAGCCCCAGCTGGCCTGGAACTTGCTATGTATACCAGGCTGGCCTCAAACTCACAGAGATCCACCTGCCTCTTCTTTTACCATGGGTTCTGCAGATTAAACTCAGATAGTTAGGCATGTGCGCAAGTGCCTTTTACCCCACTGAGCCAGCTTCCTAGCCTTCTGTTTTATTTTTTGAGACAGGGTCTCTCACTGAATGTGGGGCTCACTGATTTGGTTAGCCTGGGTGGCCAGTGAACCACAGGGATCCTCCTATTTCTGCTTCCTCAGTACTGGGATTACAGGTATGTGGGGCTGGGGTTCTGAACTTAAGTCTTTGGTTATGTGCAGCAAGCGCTTTATTGCTGGGATCATCTCTCTAGTCCCCTACTTTTGATTCTAGTTGGTATGACAACTTTTTCTCTTTTGTTAGGCATTTAAGGCAAGTCCCAAGTAAAAAATGCTGATGAAAGGAAAAACCAAAAAAGTAGATTTTGTAGTAGTCAGTAACAATAAGATTGCTTAAGAAAAAATACACACACAACAAAATCCTCTTTGGAGATTTGAATAGGCACTTTAAAAGAGAGGTAATCCAAATGGCCAGTAAATGTACAAAAATATTATTGGGGACTGGAGAGATGGCTCACTTTGTAAAGTGATTGCTGTGTAAGCATTGGAACCTGAGTTCAGATCCCCAGCATTCATGTAAAAACCAGGGACAGCAGCACGCATCTTTAACCCCACTGTTGTGGAGGCAGAAATAGGTGGATCCTGGGAGTCTGCTGGCTGGCCAGTCTAGCAGGAATGGCAGTTGCAGGTTCAGTGAGAGCCCCTGCCCTCAAAAACTAGGGTGGAGAGTGACAGAAGACACTTGATGGTAACCTCTGGCCTTCATATGTGCATCATGGGTAAGTGCACCCATCCTTATGCATGCACAGAGTACTCTATCTCATTAATTATTAGAGAAGTGCAAATTATTGTAAACCTTGCAATTCATAGCGATGATACCACTTGTTTATAAAAGATGTGAAATGGCTGGGCGTGGTGGCGCATGCCTGTAGTCCCAGCACTTGGGAGTCAGAGACAGGTGGATCCCTGTGAGTTCAAGGCCAGTCTGGTCTACATAGTGAGTTCCAGGACAACTGGGGCTACAGGGAAACCCTCTCTCAAAAAGAATTAAAAAAAAAAAAGAAAAAAAAAAGATGTGAAACAATGTAATATGAATTGGTAGAGCCACTTTAGAAGGCATTTTGGCATTAGTAAAATAGAAGATAGACAAAGTCATTCTTAGGGATGTATGTTCTTTAGAGACACTCATGCACATACACATATTAAAAAAAAAAACATAACGGGGTACACGTGTGTATACATGCATATGGAGGCCAGACATTGACGATGAGTATCTTCATTAACTACTCCAACTTACTTTTTGATGCAGGAGTCTTTGACTGACATGAGTCTCACTAGTTTGTCTAGACTGGTGCTGTAAGCCTGAAATCCCAGCTACCTGGGATGATGTGGCAGGAGACTCCAAGTTCCCAGTCAGCCTGGGCAACTTGGTGAGACCTATTCTCACCAAAATAAAAAGTTCAAAGGTCGGGGATGTAAAAATGTGAGAGAGTCCTTAACTTAATTGCTAGTACTGAAAAAAATTGAGTATTGTTTTATAATGATCCCATTGGTCCATCTATAGTAGAATGAATAAAATAGTCATAGAAATTGGTATATTAATTAGTAATAAAAGGAATAAGAATGAGGTGTGGTGGCACACGCCTTTAGTCCCAGCACTTGGGAGGCAGAGGCAGGCAGATCTCTGTGAGTTCAAGGCTAGCCTGGTCTACATAGCGAGTTCCAGGCCAGGAGGGGCTACAGGGAGACACTGTCTCAAAAAGACAAAAGAAAAAAAAAGGCTGATTCTTGTTATGTTTATTTTATTTTGATTTTTAAAAAAAATTTTATTATTAGCTGGGCGTGGTGGTGCACGCCTTTAATCTCAGCACTCAGGAAGCAGAGGCAGGTGGATCTCTGTGAGTTCAAGTCCAGCCTGGTCTCCATAGTGAGTCCCAGGCCAGCTGGGGCTGCAGGCAGACCCTGTCTCAAAAAGACCAAAAAAAAATTTTTTTTATTATTTTAATTTTATGTGTACGAGTGTATTGGGTACATGTATGTGAGTGCACCTGTGTCATGCAATGCCACAGAGGTCAGAAGATGGCTTCGAATTCCCCTGCAACTGGAGTTAAGGACGGTTCGTAGCCACCATGTAGGTGCTGGGAATTGATTCTAGGTCCTCTGCAAGAGCAGTCAGTGCTCTTAACCATGAGCCATCTTCAGCACCTTTATTTTGATTTTTAAAAAGGCACGAGGTGGTGGAGAGATGGCTCAGCCTTTAAGAGTACTGGTACTGCTCTTTCAGAGGACCTGAGTTTGATTCCCAGCACTCACATCAGGTAGCTCACAGCAATCTGTAACTCCAGTCCAGAGGGATCCAGTGCCTCTGGCCTCTGTGAGCGCCTGCACTCATGGGCATATACCATCTTCAAAGAGTGCATCTCAAAAATAATTGAGGGAAATGATAGAATTATCATTCTGTACACCTTCCCCCTATATACATAATTAAAAATAATAAAAATAAAATTTAAAAAAAGAGTGCATCTCAAAAATAATTGAGGGAAATGATAGAATAGTTCAGTTATTTATAATGAATAAGCATTTAAAACTATAAACTGTTACTTAGGGGTAACTGTTTTATATGGTAAAAGAGTAGTATCTCTGGGAGGAGGGTGCTTTTTATTTTTTGTTTTTTGAGACAAAGTCTTACTGTTTAGCTCCAGCTGGCCTGGAACTTGCAGCAATCCACCTGCCTCTGCCTCCCAAGTTCTGGGATTAAAGACATGCACCACTACACTTGGCAATGGTGTTTATTATACTCAGACCGCACATGGAGCTTCTAAAATGGTAATGATGCTCTATTTCTTAAGTAATGATTTATATGGGTGGTTATTTTATAATTATACATATATAGTATAATAATTTTAAGAGTAATATACTGTTGTCAGTTAAGCATATAATTATTATATTTACCTTACGTTTAAAATATAACTCTAGCCAGTGTGGTGGCACATGCCTGTAGTCCCAGCTACTTGAGAGGCTGAGGAATGAGGATCTCTTGCCCAGAATTTCAAGACTGGCTTGTTCAACATAGTATGACCCCTATCTTAACAAAGAAATAAACAAACAAACAAACAAACAAACAAATAAACACAGCGTTAGCTTGTGCCAGGCTGTGCTTAGTACCCGAAAGGTACAGACCCTGAGGAGACCACAGGCAGTTTCAGTGTCAGGTGGGTAGTTTGTAAAGTCTTACAAAACATTTCTTTCAATCTTAACTTCTTAATTATGAATATCATTTGATTGATGACTGAATTCTGTCAGGAAAATCATTTCGGCTCATCCCCAGAGATACGCTCTTGAACTATGCAGTGTTTCCTCACAGGCTTCCTTGGGGACTTAGAAAAATTAAAGAGGGATATGCCTTAGTTGTGGTAAAATCTTCAAAATTGTAGGTAACTTTAAAACAAAAGTTCATGGGGGCTGGTGAGATAGTTCAGTGGTTAAGCGCACTAACCGCTCTTGCAGAGGACCTGGGTTTGGTTCCCAGCACTCACATGGTGGTGAACAACCATCTGAAACTCCAGTTCCAGGCAATCTGATGCCCTCTTCTGACCTCCATGGGCACTGCATGACATGGATGAATTTACATACATGCAGGCAATATACCCATACACACAAAATGTAAAAATAATAAATATATTTTTTAAAAAGTTCATGAAGCGTGGCACAGTGGCACACCTGTAATTTCAGACTGAGATCAAGAGTTCAGTGCCATTCATGATTACACAGCAAGTTTGAGGCCAACCTAAGCTCACAAGACTTTATCTAAAAACAGTCACACACTATGAAAAAACTTCTTAGGGCTGGTGAGATGGCTCAGTGGGTAGAGGCACTTACTGCCATTCTGACACCTGAATTTGATCTCCTGAGTTTGTTTCCTAGAGCTCACATTGTAGAGGGAGAGAATAGACTCCTTCCAGTTGTCATCTGACCTACACACGCATGCTGTGGCACGCCTGCTCATGCGCACAGACTCAATTCACACAGACACTGACAAATAATATGTGTAATTAAAAGAAAACAACCCAAACTTAATAGATCACCCTTGGTGGTAACTAGGGAGGTAACCCCTTACTCTGGCAATTGCCAATTAAAAACTATAATCCTGCCGTTCTTGTATAAACTTTATTGCAGAGTAGCCTCATAGCCCTAGTTGATGAGGAGAATCCAAATCAATAAATGTGGAAGGAATGACAGAATGAGATCATCATTGTGTGTATTTTAGTGAAACAGTTGGCTCATGTAAGGCTAATCTGTAGTTGACACTGTTCAGAGGTTTGAGCTTTTATTGTACAATGGGATAGAAACCTTGGTCTCACTGAGGAATCTGGGAAAACTGAAAAATTTACTGAACAGTTTATTTAAAAAGTGTATAACTTAATTAGCCATACTGTGAAATGTTACTTTAGCTTAAAGTGTAAACAAGATGACTGTGGTTGTCAAATCCAGAGGCAAGTAAATATTCTGCAATTTAAAACACGATGGTTCTTTTTTGTTTTTCTTGCTTTTCTTTAGAATGTAAGTGAAGCAGAAAATAGTAGCTGTCTTGACTTTGAAGGGGAAGGGACAGCGAGGGAAACAGATGGAAGCAATTAAATCCTTGGAACTGTTGAGTAGGATGTTCTTTGGGGCTGTTTGGTGTTTAGACATTTCCAGGGCAGGACTGAACTAAGATTCCTCAAGTTTGCTTCTTCAGAGTTTTCTAAATAGTGACTACTTCTTAGGCAGCATAAAGGAAGA